AAAATGAGGAGCTGATACCAAGGGCTAAAATAGAAAGAAAATGTTTTGAGAATGATGATGGCCACCAATGTACAAATGTGCTTGATATAATGGCTATATGGATGATGAGAGCTGTACAAGCACCCGATAAAGTGATTAAAAAAACCCAAACACATTCATGGCCAAAGCGCCCGCCAATTCATAGTAACTCTACAGGACAGAGGAGAATTGCCCCACAGGGTTTCCGAAGAGGCACTGGAGGGTAAGCGTTGGGCTGCAAACCACAAGGTGGGCTGTTTAAATCCACCAGCTGCTGCACAGGAGAAGGCCAGGCTCCGGTGGGGATCTCCAAGGTCGCTGTCATGGTCTACGGGGTCATGCGGATTTGGAATGTTTTTTGAGGGGGCGGGGTTGACACCTTTGTGGGAGCAGACTGCCGCATCTTTCTCCCACAGAGCAATTGATGGGTTTGAATGACGAATCTCTGGGTTATCAGGGGAGCATGTAACCACTGGGTGTCTTAGTGCTTCCTTAGGCACACTGAGACTAGATGCTATATTAGGGCCCTTGTTGGAATCAAACGTTTTCCTGGAATCCTGGCCTGATGCTGGGCCCAGTGGGATGCCTGGTTCCTGGAGGCTGGAGAAGCACCCAGGTTTTAGAGTTCTGACAGCCTGGCTCAGGCTTTACGGAGGCCAGTATCCTCATTTACATGCCTGGGCTCTTTCCCCCTTTCTCCCTCTCGACCAGCCTAGCTGCTTCTGCTCCAGCCTGCCAGCAGAACAGAGGGACTCTGAGCACCCCTCTCTGCGGTGTCTCAACATGACCACCATTTTGCATGCTCATCATTTGTTCCCGGCGTCTTTCATTGGCAGGTAGGGCAAATAAGACTCCATTCTTTGACAGGGCAGCATCTTCTCTCCTCTCCTCAGGCCAGATTGCTCCTTCTCTAACCAGGGACAAAAGGACCACTGTCACCCCCCAGGCTCTCACAGGGGAGCTCCCTGGCCGGGGCAGCAGCAATTCCCCTTGGGACACTTCTTTTCTGGGAGCAAGCTGACTTACGTGCACAGCCCATTGGCTTGATGTCAACACCGGTCCTGTATTACAGCCAAGAAGATATTTGGGATGGAATTACAGTCCCTATGCATAATCCATGAATCATCAGTGATTAAATTTTGTGCTCAGATCAATGTCTTTCCTCCCCCTTCTCCATCGCCCCTTCCCATGCCTGGCAGACTCTCTCACCACCCAATAAAATCTCTCCCCATCTCTAAGCCAGCTAGCATGGGCTTATGAAGAACACAAACTCAATTTCATATTGACCTTGGTTCAATTTAATTAGGATGATAAATCGGATATTGGAGTTAAAAGCACAACTTGAAGCCCAGTCTCTGTAAAAAGAGATTCTTTTTTCCTTTCTTTTTAATCATTGCCTACTAATTCCTCCCTCCGTATTCTTGGATTTTAACTCACTACTCAAACAAGAATCATGGTAACCCTAAGACAACTCCCTACCCTCCTCCATTTTAGTTTTTTTTTATGAAGTGATATTTATGTTTTTAATCTTTTCACATATCATACAATGTAATAGCCAAATCATATTAAGAACAGTTGTGCGATCATCACCACAATCAATTTCTTTCTCATTGTCCTTGTTGTCTGCTCCCCCACTCCCTTCAAGCTGGGCCCAGTGGGATGCCTGGTTCCTGGAGGCTGGAGAAGCACCCAGGTCTTAGAGGTCTGACAGCCTGGCTCAGGCTTTACGAAGGCCAGTATCCTCATTTACACTCCTGGATTCTTTCCCCCTTCCTCCCTCTCGACCAGCCTAGCTGCTTCTGCTCCAGCCTGCCAGCAGAACAGAGGGACTCTGAGCTCCCCTGCCATGGCCCTAGGTAACTGTCCCTGTAGATTTACCTATCCTGGATTTCATATACAGAACATCCTACAAAACAAGGACAAGGAACAACAAAAACAACAACAAGGACAAAACAAAATAGAGGGAAACCCTCAATCAAAGTGAAAAGGATTTAAAGTGGAAACAGCTTTAAAATGGGTCAAAAGGGGAGATCAAAGAATAGCCTCGCTAGCAGACTGAGAGCGCCAGAAAGCTGAGGATGGCAGAGGCGGCTAGGTCAAAAGGTAACACCTTATCATGCGATTTCCCCTTTGGACCACTTTTGAAGTTATTTTGGCTTTTCCATATTTTCTACTATTCTTAATTGATTTTCACACCTGCCTCGGAGCTAGACGGGCAGTGTGGCGAGCCTCCTTTTGCAGATGAGGAAGTGGGAGGCAGACTGCTCAACTGTCCTGACTGAGGTTCTGCTGAGAGATTGTGGCAGACAGCTGGTTTAATTACAACCCCGGGGTCTGGGTGAGAACCCCCAGTCCCAAGGGTTTGGGGAGACTTACCAAAGCCCACAGGCAGTGCTATTTTCCAGGAGCAGTCCATGTTGCTGGGGTAGTTGCCCGGGAAACCTGGGCTCAGGATGACCCCCTCCATCTCTTCCACTCCTCCCCCACACTGCGCTGTGATGGTGCAAAGACACAGCATCAGGACATCATTGAGGAGCAGACAGGGCCATGCCAACTTTGGGACGAACAGCAGGTTTTGTGTGTGTGTGTGTGTGGGTGTGGGTGTGTGTGTGAATATATAGTCACACATCATTTGAACACTTTTTTTTGCATGCACATTCTTTGATTACCTTCTTCAAGTTAGGCAAACATTCTTACCACACTCCTCCAAACTGCTCCACTGCCATGGACTTAAATTCACTGCCCACTAAGCTCCTCTTCTGACTTTTCTGAGTTGCTGCTGTCAGTTTGATCTCACATCGACAACTCTTTGAAAGAGCACAGTGCTCACGGCAGACCTATTCTAATCAGCTAAACCATTTTTCGGTTCAACTAAGAACTTTAGGGTAGAGGTTCCCCCACTTACTTGGCCCACTGCCTCCTTTTCAGAAAGAAAAATAAATTGACAGAACTTTCCAGGCAACTGCAACTTTTATCCTGTAGCCCATGATCCAGGATAATGTGGAGGCTGGCATCTGCTTGTGCAACCCCCCTTGATGGCTCCAGTGTCCCCCAGAGGGCAGTTTCGTGCACTCTGGGAAACAGTTTTAGGGGATAGTTGTGGTTTCAGGTTCGAAGTTTAAAGATCATCTCAGGACCATGGTCTCTGGGGTTCACCCACCCTCAATGACTCCAGAAGGCCTGGATTCCACTGAGAATTTGCAATGCTGTTTGAGACGTCTTCTTTTGACCACGCTGCTGCTACGGAATCTTTGATCAAAGTGTTCAGTAATGGGAGCGGGCACTATCCAATTCTTTTGGTCTCATGGCAAAGGAGGCAGTGGTTCGTACAGGTAATCAGGCATGTGATCTGTTTCTTCCTCCAATTCCCGTCTCTGCCTCTTCCTCTATAGCAACAGTTTTAGTGTTTCCTGAGTCACCAGCCTCTTCAAGAACCCAAAGGGATAAGTAGTTTTCCCTCCCTAGAAAACTGCACACGCAGACAGAATTGAGCAACACATTTCAGGATGGGAAGCATATGCTTGGACTTCCCAGGGGCCCATGAACTCTAGTTGTGGACTGTTGACCCGGAGGGTGCCCTTCTCAGGTCAGACCCTTTGGTGGGGACACACCAAGCTCCCTCCCCTCACTGCACAACCAACTTGTCCAAGTGGAATAAAAAAGTACAGGGAGGAGGATTAGCGAGCACTGAAGCCCTCCTCTGGGCCAGGCCCTGTGCGACATATATTTTGTGGGATGGGTGATCACTGCTGTGTACCACCACCTCAGAACTCTGACATGGCTCGTGTGTGGTTTCTTCTTGGACCTCAGGACAGAGGGACTGTGTTGATCTGAAGCTGGGTAACCCCAAGGGCTGAGGACCTCAGACACCAAGGGAAGTGACTTCAAAGACACTGAGTATATAGAGGCCGGTTCTCCTGCCGCTTGGCTGGAAGACATCTTTCCCTCACTCCCTTCTTGGAAAAGGTGTGAGCAGCAAGGAGCTGTGAGTCAGGAAAGGCCAGGAAAGGGAGCAGAGTGGAGGCATAGGAGTGGCCCGGCAAGCCCCTTCAGGGAGAGGGCGACCCAGGCAAGCTGCCCTGTGCCTAAGGGAACAGTGCGGCGACCAGGCTCAGCACCCAGCTGCGCGGGGCACAATCTTAAAGCCTCTACTTCCTGTGTGAACTTGGGAAAATTCCAAACCCAAGGCTTAGTTTCCCCCTCCATCAGAGCTCCTACCCCCTGGTGGTGGTGTGCTTAGTGGGCCTGTAAGAAAGGAATGCGCTTCCCTTAGAGTAGGGTTGGCGTACACGGGAAGCCTGAGATGGGCCCACTGTCGTTGCTGTGATGGGAGTTCCCTTGGCGAGGCCTTCATGATACATATTGGGGGGAAGTGCCTGGGTGACCGGACCATTCCTGACCTGTGTGGCTGTGGGCACACCCTGCCCCTGGTGAACTCACAGGCGGGGAATGCCATCTCACCACGTGATGCTCCCCTGTCTCATTTCCGCTTCAAAGGTCAACACCGGGCTGCACATCGCCATGGGGCACCAGGCCCACTCGGGGTTCCCTTTCTGACTCTGCCCCTTTCTTTTTAATCCTTAGACTTGCTGTTTCCCTGTTTGCAAAACAGAGACTGACACTAGCTCCCCCGAAGAAGAGCTGTTGTGAAAAAACAGCATGGTGCCTCCCACATAGTCACCTCCTGCCCTCAAGCTGACCCCAACTCTCAGCGACAGAGCAGAACACCTTTCTCCCATGGGAGGGTTTGAACCGCTGCCCTCTCAGTCAGCAGCCTAGTGCTCTATCCACTGCACCATGGTTCCTAGTACATCGTAGTGTGTTAGCCTGGCAGCTGCACGGAAACCTGTTCACCGCCTAGCTAGCAACATGCCAGCCGCCACCCACAGACCCGCGTGGCTGCACAGGTCTAGTGGCTGGGAGTCGAGCCTGGTTGTCCCCCTGAAAGCCAAGCGTTCTATTCCCTTGTTTCCCTTGTAGCAGTTAACGTTTCTGTAGCAGTGGATCGAACTCTTGGCCCTCTAAAAAGTCATAGAGGAGGGAGCCCAAAGTGACTCTGAGTGCCCTTTGAGTTTGGGCTGCTTATCAGACTCTGACGGTCATCAGGAGCATTCTCCTATGGGCACACCTCCCGCCTTTGCTCACGTGGTGGGCAGAGGCTTCTAGACTCGTCCACTTAGAGCGAGCGTTAAAGAAGATAAAAACATCCGTCTGAAACGACTGATTTTGAATAGTCCTGGAAACCCAGACTCTTTCCTGATTTGAATCCCCATCCCCACCCTGCCCCCCATAGACTCGACTGCTCCGGGGTAGCTCTCTTACCGATGCAGAGCGGCGGAGGGTAGGTCCAGCGCCGCACGGTCCCGGGCATGCAGGAGATGTGGGCGTGGCCCTGCGGGGAACAGCGATGGGCGAGCTGCCACGGATGTGCAGCCCAGAACAGGGTGCTGGTCCCGGGCCCACACCCAGGGTGAAGATACACAGAGAGATAAAGTCCCGGGCCAGACCGGCTGGCTGTGGGATGGAGTGTCAGGCGAGGGAGTGAACTTTTGGGGGAAGGAGGGTAATTAACAGCCATTAATACGGAGTTCTCATTACTGAGGCCTTCCTTGTGAGACTCCTTTAATTACTAAATTCCCTTGTGGCTTTCAAAGGAAAATTAAATTTTCCAAAAGTCTAATCAAGCCCAACTTTGCAGGAACACGTTGGAATCTGGCTTGTGTCAAATTGCTCAAGTCAGCAAAGTTTGTCTTTTTGCCTGAACAGCTTCAGGAGGGGTAAGAGCCCCCCTGGGAGCTCCCGGGGTGGAGATGCTACTCCTCTTCTTTGGTGAGTGAGCTCAGCTCATGCGAGGCTGGCCTGGCGACTGATCCCATCAGAGGGGACACCTGCTCCCTGACCTGGGGTGCCAAGGGGCGGTACCTGGAGGGCATATCCCGGCTCGCACTGGAAGGAGACTACATCGTTCACCAAGTAGCGTTCGCCAGACTTCACCCCGTTACTGGGCACTGCAGGTTCGGGGCAGCTGCTGAGCCCTACAGCTAGACAAGACAGACAGACGAGAGGAGACTGGTCAAGCCCAGCAGGCAGTGCAAGGCCAGCAGATGAGGGGCTGTGCTGGGAGGGAAAAGGGAGCCTTCTGGCTGGGGTTTCCCAGTCACTTCCCTGCACGGAGAGGGAATCGGAATGAGGATGTGGGACAGGGGCTCAACAGACTAGCTTCTTGGGGATCTTGCCACTCTGCCCAGCTGTGAGGGTGGAGCACGTCCTTACCACAAAGGCCATCCCCAAGCCCAGGACTCAGTGGATGGACTGTGGAGAAGCTAAGGGTCTTCCCAGTTCTGCTCTATGGCCCACGGCTTCTCTGCTGGCTCCTCCCACATCCTCTCTTCAACTTCAAACTTCCCCCCCATTTCCCTGGCTCTAAGAAGACAATTCCCACAGGCTAAGCAATTGGGAGAGAAGGAAAAGAAAAGTCGAAGGAAGGAGAGACGTGATCAGAAAGCGGCTTCTCAGTGATGCTCAGGGCCCAGAAATTGCCCCCCTTCCCAGGACAGGGTGAGCTGAGACGAGTTTGCAGTAGGTAAGACTGGCCACTGTTCTTCCTGCCGTGTTTCAAGGCCAGGCAGCCCCTTTGCGGCAGCAGTCCCTGGTGACCCCTCATGCTTCGTCTCCTATGGTCATCGCAGGCCTGGACCTTACTCGCCACAGGACCCTGTTATCAACTTCGCTTGGATTCCGACCCTAAGCCACTGTTGTTTTTGGCTGTCCAGCATGCACAGGAAACTGAAGCTTCTTAAAGGAGGGGTTGTAAGTCTTTACTCTTGATCATGGGGTGGCCCTGCCCGAGGGCTTGAAGCGGCTCCCGTCACCTGTGGTACAGAACCTAACATTCTTATCCCAACACCCTGCTGCCGCCATGATTTACGGTTGCCTTTCAAGAGCCCCTCCAAGGGCTCTCTGGACTTTGAAGAGTGGACTTGCCTCCGTTTGACCTTATTATAGACCTTATTATGTCAATTGCATGGAGCTATGATAGGTCTCTGTCTGGATAGGTCTCTGTTCCTCCCCCCACATGGCTGGAGTACCACTCCCTGACTCCTTCCCCTGTGCATCATCTGACCCCTCGGAAGCAGGTCCTAGCATCCCATTTAACAGGTGAGGGTCCAGGATGAGACCATGCCCAGAGACCGTCTAGCTGCAGGTATGATTCATGGCCTGGCTGGAGACCAAGCTCTGAGGTCCCAGTGAGCTCATGCCTCTCGACTGACTGCTGAAATCATCTTTCTCCCTCACCGCCTGCTTTGTGTCCCTCCCTGCTGACTCCCGCCAGCACGCAGACTGCGGCCTCTCCTAAGGGGGCAGCTTCATCCTTCTCGGAGCCCTCAGAAGCCCATTTGCAGGTGCCGATGCTTCAGGTGCACTCACTAAATCTCTGTGCACACAGCCTTCGGGATCAGGGCTAGAAGAACGATAATGAGGCAGACTTATGAAAGAGTTGTCTGCCCATTGGTCAGTGTAAGACATGAAAAAATAGCAACAATTTATGAATTATCAAGGGTTTGGGGGGGAGAGTGGGGGGAAAATGAGGAGCTGGTACCAAGGACTCAAGTAGAAAGCAAATGTTTTGAAAATGCTCATGGCAACAAATGTACAAAAGTCCTTGACACAATGGATGGATGGATGGTGATAAGAGCTATATGAGCCCCCAATAATGTTAATTAAAGAAAGAAAGAACGAAAGAAGGAAAGAGTTGTCTGCCAAACTCCAAAGTAGGCTTCTTCCACCGGGTGTCAGAGAGGCCGAGAGGATGCATGGATTAGCAGACACGATGCCTGGGCCTATCCTGGGTACCTGCATGGCCCAGAGTGTAGAAGAGTGTGGCTTTAGACCTCTTGGGGCTTCGTGGGGTAGGGGCTTCCCAAGGCTCCCGTGAGAAATGGATGAGTATCAAAGACACGCAGGGAGCCAGGATTGGCATGGAGCAGATTGGCAGGGACTGGTCATCCTAATTCTCCAACCATCAGCTCCAATTTCTTGCCCAGCAGCCGGTGGATTATCACTTCACATTCCGAATAGAGATTTGGATAACCGGATAGGCTATACTTTTCTTCTGAGGGAAAATTTATATATAATGAAATACACACATCTGTAAGTATACATTTACCGGGCTTTGACGAAGCAAGTGCTTGTTACAATGTGAATGCCCATAAACACTGAAGAATGCTACCTTATTCCAGAAAGTTCTCTCCTGCCTTTCCCAGTCAATTGCTGCCTGGCATGTGCTTTTGAAGAAGAAGATGTGATGCTTGTAAATAAAGGGTTTGGGGACCTAACCCTCAAATTCTCAGCAGCTGAGTCAAAAACCCCAAGGACGAGGATGAAGATAAACACCAAACTGAACCTGCAGTTCTTCATTGCGGCTGCTGCCACCCCCCCGCCCCCCGCCTGTCTGCAGCCAGGTCCAACGCCACTCAGAGTTCAGTGAGGCGAACAGAGCGAGGTGACTCAAGACCCACTGATGGATGAAGAAAGAGTATGCGCAGGGCAGGGGGTGATGGACAGACAGTGGGAAAGAGCGAGGCAGAGGAGAGAGGAGACTGGGGGCCAGCGCAGAGGAGGGAGTCAGGAAGAGAAATGGCCAGGGGAGAGAGGCGAAGACTGAGAGTAGGAAAGAAAGCTTTGCTAGACAGAGAAAAGCCCGTGCTAGATTTTTCTTCCTCTGCACAGCTTGAGTTGTATTTAAGCGATGCTTGCAACAAGGGGGTGGTGGTGGTTATTATTATTTTTTATCATACGCAATGTATTACTTTTGGAAACATAGTGTTCCATTCCCATTTCAATTAAGTAAACATTCAGAACGAGTCACAGCAGTAGAATGACTTTTCAGTACCCTTCAAAACCAAGCGCTTGGACAATAACGGTTCATTCTCTGTTGTCTGTGCCCTCTTTGTGGATTATCTGCAAAACAAGAACACAGCCACCGAGCTCTTGGCTCCCTGGGAATGCCAGGTTTCAAATATGAACAGGGAGCGCTAACTTCCTCTAGCACAATGAACTTGAGCCTGATGAACTTCCCCGGGGCACCACACGCTTTGCTGTGGCGGTTAGGCACTGTCGAGCTGATCCCGCCGTGCTCCGTCCTGCACTCTGTGCACAATCGCTGTTCTGTTGGGGCACACGCTTGCAGTCACCAGGTTTAAGCACCAGCCACTGAGAAAGCTGCCAGTTTCTTTGGACAAGGAACGCTGGGAGGAGTGGGGGGCTGGGGGCGGTGCCTGGAGTGAGGAGGTAGAATGGTGAAGAGATTTAGGAAGACAGTGCCCCCCTCCTCCTCCTCAGAAGAAGAAAGAAAGAACAGAGCAGACCCTACTGAACATTTGAGGGTTTAAACTTGAATACTAGATATGGAAATCAATGAGAGGGGTCGGGGTCGGGGAATAAAGGTCATTCCAGGAGCCTGGGACACTTCACCATCTCAGGTGAGAGCGGTCTCCACCCTGTGGGCAGGACGATCTCAGAGGTTCCTGGCTGGTCTTCTACCTTGCAGGGCCCTTTGTTTCAAACCGTGTCAGGACTTTCCTGGCAGGGACACCCTTCAGTTGGTGAGTTTCCTGGGATCCAGCTAATCTACCTCCATCCATCCCGGACAGGCATCTGCGTAACTGTCCGTGCTGACCCTGACCCTACCCGACTTCTAGCATCAATCAAAGCTTCTACATGCTCAGGACCATGATGCCAAAGATGGTCATGCCAACCATTCAAGCACCGCCGGTGAGTTGACTCTGGCTCGTGGCAGCTGAATGAGTGTCAGAGTGGATCTGCGCTCCATAGGGGTTTCCCGGGTTGAGTTTTGGGAAGTAGAAAGTCAGGCCTTTCTTCTGAGGCACCCCTGGGTGAGCTTGAACCTCCAACCTTTTGGTTAACAGCCGATGCTAAAGCCACAGATGCTACTCAGAGCCTCCTATACTTTTTACTGGTCATTCCAGCCCTAAGTCAGAATCGCCTTCTGAAAGTCTTCCCCGGCCACAGTCAGCTCCCACTCTGTACTACCTTAGCACATCGTGCTGCAACACAGCACTGCTGCCATGCCGTCTTCCGTCCCAAGCTAGTCAGGCTTTCTGGAGCCAGACTCCTCAGACCTGGCACAAGCGTGATCTCTTAAAGGCAGCTTGTCCTGACATCTAAGAAGCCCTGGTGGTGTAGTGGGTTCACATGGGCTACTGACCACAAGGTCAGCAGTTTGAAACCAACAGCTGCTCCTTGAGAGGAAGATACGACTTTCTGTTCCGGTAAAGATTGACCGTTTCAGAAACCACAGGGATCATTCCACCCTGTCCTATGGGTTGTTATGGGAGTTAGAATTGATTTGAGGGCAGTGAGTTCTGAGTTTGCATGATTTCTGCCTCGCTGACCCTTCCCTCCTCTGAACCATCGCTGTTTCATTTAGAGCAGTGGTTCTCAACCTTCCTCATGCCGCGACCCTTTCATACAGCTCCTCATGTGGTGGTGACCTCCAACCATAAAATTATTTTCATTGCCACTTCATCACTGTCATTTTGCTACTGTGATGAATCGGGAGACCCCTGTGAAAGGGTCGTTAGACCCCAAAGGGGATCGCGACCCACAGGTTGAGAACCGCTGGTCTAGAGACATCTATGACAGTGCCCACAATGCTGGTTTAACCATGGAGGCACTTTTCTGTCGACATGGCTGTCGCTCCGCAATGGATGCGGAGTGGAAGTAACTCTCTTGATCATACTCAGACCTAACTAAGCCTAGCAGACACCTAGCACATAGCAGTTTCTCAAGAACCTTCTTCCCATTACCCAGTAAGGAGAAGGAAGAGGGGCGGCAGCTCCAGGATGTCCTTGTAGAACAGCTTGTCCCCCAGCCACCTCTTTCTTTATTGACCCCAGAAGACGCAACACTGTACGTTTTTAGGCGAGACCACTTCAGGACACTGGAAGCCAGAATCGTAAGGCTTTGAGCCTGTTAGGAGGATCTGGGGCCAACCAGGAGCGAGACTTCTATGCAGGGGTGAACCCTCCGGGACTGCTGCAACACAGACAGGACTGAGGGTTTTAGGGCAGGATGGGGGGAGCACCTCCATTTTCTGATGTTAGGGACCGGGTCCCCTGCTCATTTCCGGCGTGCCCACATAGCAAACCAGCACATGGGCCTGGGGCAGGAGACCCCTCGAGGGAACCCCAGCTGTACCCCTTACAGCTGTGCCTTTTGGAGGGGGTGACAGACGTTCTCTGAGCTGCAGCGTCCTCCCCAGGCCTGGGGTAAGGCTTCGGTGGGATGGAGATGACCAAGCCCCGGTATCCCCCCTACTCACAGGGGTGCTTGGTAGCTGCGAGATCCCACCCTGGACCCCACCAACCACTGAGACCCCGAGTGCTTACTCTTGTACTCCAGGTGGAAGCCAGCGGCGGACACACTGATGTCGGAGTAGAAGTGCAGATAGAGCTGGTTAGAGGTGCTGTTCAGAAGGGCGGGCACGGTTGTCCCTAGGGCAAGGAAGCCAGGGTCACTTGGGCTCTGTCTCCCTTGCTTTTGCTACCAGCTGACATTTTGTTCTCATGGCCAAACCCCCAGGTGGCTCCAATTCTCCAACTCACTGAGTGACAAATGAGTACCCCTCAGAGGGCTGGGTCTGTCATGAGAGGGAGGAGAGAGGTCTAACCCCTTCCTCCAAGCTGAGCAGCAGCAGAACCAGATGCTGGCAGGAGAGCAAGCTTCTGGAATGCCCTGTCTACTCAGGAGAGGGCCTGCCTCGTGGTGGGCAGTGTACGCAGGGTCTTGGGCCACATGGAGAACTGGGACCTAAACAGATTCAGACAGTGGTCTTGGCCAATGGGCAAAACCACCGCCAGAAAGTGAAACGCTGCACCTTCTTGGGAAAGTAGCCGGTAGCCATTCACAAAGTTAGGCCTAGAGTTACCAGAGTCCCAGCAATGTCCCTCTTAGGTAGTCCTCCACGAGAACTGCAAACACGACTCCACACAACCCTTGTCCATGGGGGCTCACTCCACCAGTATCTGTCACAGCGCCAGAGTGGAAACAGCCCCTTCTGCCCATCAGTCGATGAAAAAACAAAATGTGGTGTATCCCCACAGTGGAATATTACTCAGCCATCAAAAGAAAGGAAGTCAGGTACATGCTTTGACACGAGGAAGCCTTGGAAACATCAGGCTAAGTCAAAGAAGATAGACACCAAGGGCCACATACACTCTGATTCCATTTGTGTAAAACGCCCAGAACAAGGGAATCCATGGAGATGGAGGGGAGACTGGCGGTTAATTGGTGGGAAAGTAGAATGGGGAGTGATTGCTAATGGGCACCTGGCTTTTTTTGTGGGAGGGTGATGAAATCTAGGATGATGTAGTCGGGATGGGGGATACAACTCTGACGATGCTGAAGAAAGACACCAGCTTGCATACTATCAAAGGGGTATTGGTGGCAGGCGAATGATATCTCAATCATGACAATTTTCAGACCATCCCCCACTGCCCTCCCAGAAGAGGGCCCTGGAACCCTGCCTTACCCGAGAAACTGCCCAGCATGGTGGCGGTGTTGTCAGCGCCATCAAACACTTCCAGGGAGTCCCAGTTCTGCTCTGTGACAAAGCTTATGACTTGAATCTGTGACGGCAGAGGGAACACACTGGTCATTAGGCAGCTTGAGTTCGTCCCTCCCCGCCTGTCTATACATCCCTTGCTGTAATTAATTCAATGATGGAGCACCTACTCTGGGCCAGGAGTGAGACAGAGGTCCTTCCCTGAGAAATAAGAAATGGTTTCACAAGTGGAGGTAAAACCCCCAACCAAGCCCTGGCGGTGACTGGATTCCAACTCATACAGGGCTGCTCACAGGGACACAGGGAATCCAGGACAGATAAACCAACCCCTCAGGACCAATAATGAGAGTAGCGATACCAGGAGGGTAGGGGGAAGGTGGGGGGAGAAAGGGAGAATCGATTACAATGATGGACATATAACCGCCTCCCCCTGCCCCCCCGCAGGGAATGAACAACAGAAACGTGGGTGAAGGGAGACAGGGGGTGATGTAGGATATGAAAATAATAATAATTTATGATTTATCAAGGGTTCATGGGGGAGGGAGGGTGGGTGGGTAATGGAGGGGGTAAAAATGAGGAGCTGATACCAAGGGGTCAAGTAGAAAGAAAATGTTTTGAGAATGATGACGCGGCCTATGTGCAGAGGTGCCTGATACAGTGGATGGATAGATGGATGGATGGATGGATGGATTGTGATAAGAGCTGCCAGAGCCCCAATAAAATGATTAAAATAAATAAACAAGAGCTGTAAGAGCCCCCAAGAAAGTGATTTCTTAAAAAAACAACCAAAGAAGAGAATGATTAAAATAAATAAATAAAAGCTACAAGGGGTGGGGGGGGGAAGAAGGTGTTCATGGGAAGATGCACAGGGAGAAGGTCACATGACGATGGAGGCGGAGACTGGAAGCAAGGGATGCTGGGGATTTCTGGCAGTCTCAGAAGCATGGTTGTGGACCTCTGGTCCTTGGCCCGGTGAGAGCCACGATTCTGTTGTTGGAAGCCGCTCAGTTTGTGGTGATTTGTTATGGCCGTTGTGGGAAACCAATACATATGCAAACTCATTTGAAAACCATTTCAGGTGAATCCTTCCCAATCTTTGCATTCCGGCTCCAGGTCCCAGGACGCCTTTTCCTGTTCCCTGCCAGCCCTGCACTTCCTCTCAGGCCACCGAAGCTCCGGCAGCCCACGAGCTGTTATGTGTCTCTGTGCGTGGACCCCATCGCCACACTTGGGCCGAGCCTCCGGAGCCCTAGGGCTGTAGAATCCATACCTCACTTCCCTGGCTGCCCCCATTCCAGGCTTGACAAGAGCCAGCCCCTGTGGTTGGCCATCTTGCTCCTACCTGGATGCCAGCGCCTTCCGGGACCACGATCTTCCACACACAATTGAGGCTGTTCAGGTAGGGCTCCGGGAAGCCGGGAGACAGGATGGTGCCCCTGCGCTCTGTCAGGTTACCTCCGCATGGCACTGGGTGGACAGGCAGCTCAGTCAGAGGCTCCTCCCAGGTATCCCCAAGCACCTCTCCACGTAACCCCTCCTTCAGGGGCTCTCAGTCTCCATTACTGACTCCTGCTTTTGTTAGCTTAGCCTTGAGGTCCCCAGGCCGGTTTTCACCTTTTGTTTATAGTCTCTTCTCTTACTTCTCCCGCACACAATACTCCTTCTAGGACCCAATCCCCAGGCCTTCATATTGGTCCCTCCCCTTTAGCCCCACCCCCCTCCCCTCTTTCCTTCTGCCAGGCCTTCTAGACCCAACCCACTGGATTAGCAACTTGGCCTGAGTGAGTGGCACCTCCTACCCAGTTATGCTGGTGGCATGGTGCTGCTGTGTAACTTGAACATCAGTGGGTCTTGCTGTCACCACTCCCCAGGAGCAAATGACTGCTGCTTCCCCATCCCCTGTCCTGGTGGTCCGGGTACTCACCCACACACGCTGGGGCTGAGACATTCCACTGGGCCAAGGCCCCGGGAATGGGGAGGCACTCGATGTCTGGGGATCCTTGTAGGACATAGCCGGAGCTGCATTCAAAGCGGACCACGGCGCCCACGGAGAAGTCACTGCCCAGCCTCTTGCCATAGCGCGGTTCTGGCACGGAGCTGCACTGCGTGGCACTGGTTCGAGGTACCGCTGTAGGCGACAAAGGTGCTGAGGGGTGGGCCTCTGCCCTCTGGGAATTGGCCAAGAATTTACACCCAATGGGACTGGAGCTGAGGCAGTCTAGAGATGCTCTGAGCTTATCCATCCTCTTAGGGCAGGGGTAGCGGGGCTAGCTAGAATAATGCCCCTTTCACTGGAAACTAGCTAGACAGGAAAGCTGCTTCCATGTGTCTGGAGCCATGGGGGCCTGTGGGAGTCCACTCCACCCCGACCAGAGAGGCCCGTTGCGCTCTCTGTCTTTATAAGGATGCAGGTTTCCACGTGCCCAGAGGGAAACTCTGTCTTGGGTCTCTTTTCATTGGGCCCCCAGGGCCCTGCTTCACGCTCTGAATCTTCTCTCTGCTCACACACCAGACAACCTTCTTCCACCCATGCCTCAGCGACACATCCTCTGGGGTGGGATAAAGCCCGCACCAGCCAGGCCAGCTCCTCCTGGGGAGAACCAGGTGAACAGGCCATGGTCGAAGCTGGGCCTCGGAAAGGTGGACAGCATCCTGGAAAAGGAGGCCTCTCACCCTAGGGGAGGCCAGGAGGCTCCCAGCCTTGGCCTTTCAAGGCCAGTATGAAAGAGGACACATATACTCCAAGTCCCTGCTTTGTGCCAGCTATTTAGTGAGTCTCTTTTAAGCCAAGGAATGGTCCGCTGAGTTAAGCACTATTATTAATCCCCATTTTTAACCGTGAACAGATTGGGACTCTGAGGAATGGAGTAGCTGGCCCCCAGCGGGAAAGGGCGGAACTGGATTCAAATCCCTGTCCAGCTCGGCTCAAATTCCGTGTTTCCCTCATGCCCTGAAGAAGAAACCAAGCTCCCTGGGAGAGAGTCTATACAAGGTGCCGGGCTGGCCTCCCCGGTGCCACTTACGTATCGCAGACAGTGAGCAAGGAGATTGGTGCCCCGTGTCTGATTTGCTCCTCATTCAACATAGATTTTGGCCCAAGAAATGTCTGTTGAATCGATCCACATACAACCTTCACTTGACTTCCAGGGAACTGTCCCCCAGTCCAGTACTTGGCCTTCACACACTCTGAGACTGAGGCTTCGGACAGGAGGTCTTAGTCCACTTTCAGTCGGCCAAGAAGCCATTGGGTATGGGGACTGCCTTTGCTCCGGCCATGCCCGGTCCTACATACCTTGGTAGACGAAGTGAAACCCTCTGGCTGGTGACTGGCCCTTGGCACTGAACTTAATGAGAACTTGATTGGAGGTGGCCAAAGGCAGAGATTCTCCTGCCGGGATAAGAGGCAAGAAGGAGAGGAGGGAGTTAGTCCAGCAGGAAAAACAAAAATCCTGGCCAGGAAGGATGGCTGCCGATACCCTTGCACAGCCCAGGCCGTCCCGAAATACAACCTCCCATTTTAATCACACCTTAAGGTGCACAGAGGGCTTTCACGGTCAGTGTCTTCTCTTGACCTCTACTCAAGATGAGGTTGGCAGGACAGAGCTCACATCCACTTAATAGATCAAGAAAGAAAGGTTCCCGATTGATTAAATGACTGCCCAGAAAGCTTTGAAAGATGTGTTGACCTTCGGGGATGGGGAGAACGGCTGTTATCAAACGGGTTACTTGGAAAACCGATATTGACCAGAAGAGTAAGTGCTATACCAGCTTCTGGGAAGGAGGGGAGGCGATTATCTGGGAGTGACTGGCAGTATCCAGCCCCCAGCGGCATGACTGGAAACCAGAGTGATCGTACCATTGGTCGCTCATATTAGGACACGACTGAGAGAGAAAGGGCCTGGTGTTAATTAGGATGCTAGGACAAACCAAGTGTATGTGGGGATTGTCCCCAGCAAACCAGATGGCATCGTCACCAATTAACACGGAAATTAGGGAACACTTGCATGGGCACCGAAAGCTAAGTGAGGTTGATGGCCTTTAAAGCAGAAGATAAAGGTATAATTTCTGCTTGATAAGATACAGATGGAACAAGAGTCAAGACAGCACCAACTGGACCTGCAGCTGTGAAGTGCAGCCTGGCTTGCAATCACTGCCCCACAGGGGCCCTGGAGGACATGGGATGGTGGGTACTGGCATGGGACTATAAGGAGCCAGGCTACCCCTGCAGTTAAGGCCCATCTGGCTCCTACAGTGCTTCTAGAAAGCCTGTGTGATGCTATCGGTCCCGAGGAGTGGGAAGCTTTGTGCACAGCACACTTGGATTGATATATAGCCCAGATGGCTGAGCTTGACAAAGAATCACTGCCCCAGCTAACTTCTGGCTGTCAAAGCAAACGGAAATGAAACTCACAAAGTCTCTCTCCATTATCATCTCCATCTGTAGCTCATCCTCTAAGTTCCAGTGGATAAGAGCAGAACAAGAGTTGGGCTGCTAACCACAAGGTCAGCAGTTCGAAACCGTCAGTGGCTCTGCAGGACAAAGATGAGGCTTTCTACTCCTGTAAAAAGGTTACCTGTCTTGGGAACTACAGGGGCAGTTTCTCTCTGTCTTACAGGGTCGCTGTGGGTCAGCATCGACTCCATCACAGTGAGTCTGTCACCTGGCCTGACATAACTGAAGAAGGACCTCAGGACACGCTTACGGAAGCCAGCTCAATGTCCCATCCCAGACACACATAGGCTGTAACACTCCACTGTAAGCACACAGTAGAATCACACACATGCATGTGAAAGCTGGGTCATATAAAATGAAAACAGAAGAAGAGTGGATGCATTCAAAGGGTGGTGCTGGCAGAGAACAGTGACTATACCGTGGACTGCCAGAAGAACAAACAAACTCATCTAGTAAGAAATGTAACTAGCCTACGCCTAAAAGTGAAGACGGCGGGCTTTGGCTCCCATACGTTGACCGTGTCAGCAAGGAAGACCAGCGGCTACTGAGGATAAGTCCTTCTTGACAGGCTCAGCAAGACGAGAGGGACCCTCGGTGAGATGAGCCGACCCAGTAGCCAAACGAGCAGACTCAAGCACACCGGTGATCAGGGGTGCCCGGCAGCAGACAACGCTTCATTCTCTGATCCATAAGGGCATCATTGGGAATCGGAGACAACTCCATGGCAGCTAGCAACAAGATCATCAAGCTTCCAAAGTTTTAAGGAAGGAGACGACGCTGGGAAGTCAGAGCAAAGAGGTTTTTTTGAACCACCACAAAGAGCAGACAAAAACCTTGGGAGATTTCAATTGTGGTTATTACTTGCAGCCCTGCATCTCAGACCAGAGGAGGACACACATAGGGAAGGCAATGAGATCTACAGCCGCTGCAAAGAGATGAGAAACGAGAGTGCGTGCCGGCAGAGTGGAGATGATTCTGAGCAAACTGAACAGCAGAGATGAAATTGAGGGAGGTTCCCCCCACCACCTCAGGATCCACAGGAAAAAGAAATTAAAATAATGAAAGACACAACAAGAGGTATGGAAGAGTAACCCACTCACCACTACTCGCGAAGAACAACAAAAGGCATTCAATATACGTATATCAGGAATCCCAGAAAGGGAAAACAGGAAAAAAAAAATCCAAGGAGGAAAAGCAATTTAAGAAAGAAGCTAATCTCCCTAAGCTTAAGAAAGATGTAGGGAGTGGACCGAGGTGGCCAGATGTAAGGAATGAAAAGAGATCTCCATTATAACACACACTAGTGAACTTTTTAATGTCAAGAATAAAGGAAAAAAATGAAAGTCTAGGTTATTTACAAGGACAAAGAATCAGGGTGGACTTCAACTTGTCTGAAATTGTAAATGTTGGAACAGAAGGGAACAAGTGTTCCAGAGTTTTCAAAGAAAGGGTTTGTGACCCATAATTTGATTTGCAATCAACTTGTCATTTATATGATATGTCAAAAGACAGGCATTCTTATATATGCAAGGTGACAGAAAGTACTGCAGTCATAAATCCTGCTGACAAAAATGAACCAAAATAGAGAAATGAAGAATTGGCAGGGATACATGTGATTGGGAAAGTATAGTTAAAACCAAATAACTCTTGTGAACAAAGTGCCAAAACTAAATGCGAAATTAAAATTTGTTCTCAGGATAGAACTTCATATTGCTACAGAAATTAATACTGGTACTAAGATAAAATGATATGAAAGTCTGACTATATCAACAAATGCTCCTTAGCGTTGAGCATGCTGTGACTCTCGCTGCCTTATGTTGGGCATGTCCTTAGGAAACACCAGCCACTAGCGAAGGACATTAATCTTGGTAAAGGGTCACTCAGCACACAGAGAGAAATTCCCAAGGAGATGGATGGACAGCCTCAAACTCCTAATGATCATGGAGATGGTCTAAGAGTGGGCGATATTTCATTCTCCTTGATGAGGGCATGCGGAAATGTACTGCTACGAGAGTCACCGTTCGTTCCTGCAGACACGAGTCTATTCTAAACAAGAGGTGTTTAAACATGTCCCTGTAAACGGTGGGTGGCTCCAGACAAATTCTTTCCAAAAGCCACGTGTCTTAGTCCTACTGCGGGCCTTCTAAAAAAGGTCCAAGCAAAACAGTGGCTTTTGAAGGCATCTGCTGGGCCACTAGACGCAAGGCAGAGAGGATGCTACGGCATCAGGATGCTATGGCAACTGTTGGGGGGGTTCTGAAGGGGCCGGCTTGACAGCTACTTCTCAAAAGACCCAGGGCACCCAAAGGCTTATTAGGAGTCAGATTTTAGGAAGTTGCTTACTCATCCAGGAGAGCAAGAACTGTCTTATAAGAATTTTATTGGGAAACCTTTGGGTCTCTGATATTGCCCTTTCAGGCTTCTTACTATTCTCCAAACCTCAAGAGACGTTTAAAAGGAACATGATCTGGGTGCCTCAAAGATGATAAAACTACCATTTTGACCCAGACATGTTCAGGGAAAAGAGCGTAAAAGAGCGGCGAGGTATTTGAGGAAGGGTTAGGGAAGGAAGCATCGCCTTCAGAAACGCATGGACCTAGAGGGAGCCTACGTGAGGGACAACGGCTTCGCGTTCTGATATTTTTGTTTCAATGTTTCTGATTTTGTAACAATGCTTTTGACTTAGCTCCTCTGTGTGTGTGCACATGTCTGACATCTGTATTCCTGTAACTGTGCTTGTTCTTAGCTGTGTCTCTATCTTTATCTAGAAAAAGAGTCTATAAAAGGGTCCCATCCCAAGGGCCGGTGGTATGGAAACATTATCTGATTGAGAATCACTGGCATATAGGATTTGAGTAATAAAATTGAATAAGACGGCTCTAATAGTTGTTAGGAAGCACACTAGTCCTAACAACTACTCTTGCAAGCAAAATTTTTACAACATCATTTTATGTATGAGAAAACTGAAGCGCAGGGAGTTAAGGAGCACTCCCTAACGCCACCTGGCTAGCTAGCAGGTGGGAGAGCCAAAGTGAGCATCAGGCACTGCAGCTCCAGAGCCTGGCTGTACCCCTTCTTGCTATGTGACCCCTCAACTGACATGGAACACACGATCTTCTGAAATATTTAGGGAATTATAGAGACACATGTACCCCAAGGTAGACATGGCGCCCGCCACACTCCCTAACCATTGGCAATGGACATAATCAACAAAAGTCTAAATACAACAGCAACAAAATCCAACATCTGACAAAGGGTCAGGGGGTAAGGTGGTGGGGAGGGGGTGGGCATTGGGTAAGGAGAGGGCATTCTTAAATAACTCCTGGGCAAAGGAAGAAAACATTGCCAGCATGGACTACTTAGAAAGTAATGATGATGAAAATAGTATACATATATATATATTTATATATATCTATAAATAACAATTTCTGAAGTCCAAATTATGCAGCGTGCTGTCTAGGTAACCGTACCCGTGCTCTTTTATCATACTGGGAATAATGAACAGCATGACACAACTCAAGGAGTCAGAACAAGAACAAAACAAACTAAATGAAAGCAGAAGTAAAATTAGAAAAATAAAACTGGGGGTTAATTAATTAGAAGACAACATCAAGTGCCACAGAGGACTTGATAAATACGAATACAGTGCGGTAAAGGCAAACGATATAGCCCCTAAAATAAAGGAGATTAAACATCATCATTAGCATAGCATACAATAAAGCTGAAGTGCTGAATAATAAAATATTTAAAGGTATTTTTTTGCTAAAATATAAAATACCAACACTGGTATTAAGGAAAGATGCCAGAACAAGTCAATAACTATAGAAGAAAATGAAAGAAAAAGAGAACTGAAATAGGGAAGATAAAATCATGAGAAATTTATTTGCAGATAATATTGCTTTCTGCCGGGAGGACCCCAGAGAATCAGTCAGCAATGTATGAGAGTTCAATGACTTCAAAAATGGATGGACAAAAACATCAGTCCTTTAATATTCAGCACGAGCAAAGGTCAGTTAGAAAATATAATGTGGGGAAAAAAGACTCATTTATAGTAGCAACCAAAACATTGAAAAAATCTCCATGAATTATTTAGGAATACATTTAACAGAAAATAAATATGAGTACTGCCTAAAAAGAGGCTGACCTCAAGGAGATGAACTGACCCAGTGGCTGTGGCAATGGATTTAAACATAACAATTGTTTGATAAGCAGTATTTCTTTCTATTGTAGACAAGGTTGGGACTGACTTGATGGCATTTAACAACTGCTTACAGGGCGAAGGGAACACTTTCATAAGACTTATAAAAGATAAATAAATGGAGAGACAGACTATGCTTTTGAATGTCAAGAAGAGGTAATATAAAGAGGTGAGTTCTCTCCAAATAATCTGTAAGTTTAACGGAGTGTCAATCAAAATTCCAGTGCAAACTTTTTTATTTGATAATGTAATTCCAAGTTTTATTTGGGGGGGAGGGGCAACAGTAAGCAAGAGTGCTCACTAAAAAATTCAAATCCAAGAATAGCAATGTATTAAAAGATATAATATTTCAATAACTAAGGCTTTTTGATATTACTATGAGGATTAATAGAAAATGGATGGAAAGTCTATAAGCAGATCCTTAATTTATGTAATGTTGGCATTTGGAATCAGTGGCAAGTTCTGCTGATAATTGATTAGCTATGCTTGAAAAAGTAGACATCCACTCCCCCTTTATTGATACTATCTTATTATGTGACATTTTGCATTGAGGACCACAGTAAAAATGATCTGATGATGCTATGCATTAGCAACGTATGTCTGGCAGGAACGGGCAGCCAGGTGTGAGGCAAGCATGACATTGGCTTGTCATGCTGGGATGATTATGTGCCAATGCGGATGGGCCACCAATGCTCAGTGGTTTGGCAATTATACCAAACCAAACCAGACTCGCTGCCATTGAGTCAATGCTGACTCATAGTGACCCCCTGTGCGTTTCTGAGACCATAACTGGCTAGCAGAGCAAAAGTCTGGTCTTTCTCCTGTGGAACTGGAACTGGTTTTGAACTGCCGACCATGGGGATTGCAGTGCAATGCATAAGCACTTCGCCAGGGGGCACCTAGTTAGACAGTTATGCAATGATTCTCCATTTTGTGATCTGATGTGATCATCCTCCATTTTCCCATCATGCTGATTATGCCATCATGACCCGCTCTTTGGAACTAACCATGTCAATAAGGGAGGAGTGGGTGCAGTGACATTTTGTAAATCAAATGATAAACCAAAATAAGTTCCAAAGTTACTCCAGCCAAGCGATGCCGCTAAAAAGAAGTGAAAGAGAACACAGATGAAAATTTATTTGATCAACATAAATGCAAAGGAAAAGCCTATGAAAATGCTGATAGATTTGACTTCATAAAAAATTTAACATTTCTGACACAAAGCCTCACATTTTGATATTAACCCCCCTGGGCTGGGCATTAAAACACTCCCTGAAGAAAATTACATGGAGATGACAACTGGTTTTCCCCAACATTTTATAGCACATAAAATGGATAAGATGCTTTTATAGCATATAATATATACCGGTTATAATAATATGGAACTGTACTAAATAAATAAAATAAGTTCTAGTAGAAAAATCCATATAAACTCATAAATTCATAAACGAAAACATGCATGACCCAACAAATACCATTACCCAAAGATGAACCTAATTAGCAACACAAAGGGCAAATTAGAAAATGAGATGTAATTTTTCACTTTCAGACTGATGAAGTTTTGGGTTTTTTTTAAGTACCTAGTGTTGTAAGAAGTCGTGCCGGTGGCACAGAGGACTGTACCTTGGGCTGCTGACAGTTTAAACCACCAGCCAGCCCCTAGCTTTCTACTCGAGTAACGACTTCCGGTCTCTGAGACCCACGGGGGCAGGTCTACTGGGTCCTTTTGGGTCACTAGGGGGTCAGAATTGACTCGAGGTCAGTGGGTGAGTTTTGTGAGAATAAAACACGACCTCTTACCCATTGTTGGTGAACAACTTGGCAAGATCTTTCTAGAAGGATATCTGGCAATCAGTGTAAAGGGCTTTAAACTAAACTTGGACATTTTACTTCTGGAAATGCATTCTAAGGTAGCAGCCAGAGGTGTATATGAGGACACATGGATACTACATCATATTACTATTTAGAAGAGTTTAAAAGGAACAACCATCTAAATGTTCAATAGCAGGGAATTAATTGGGTCTCTTTAAAATAGCTTTACAACAGACTATGATTCGGTATTTAAAAAATCCTATTAGAGGAGAAAAAGCAATGGCTGAGAAATGCTGGCAGTGACTGTTTCAATAGGAGATGCATACTATTTTGTTCAAGAAGGAATGGGGAAGATTCACGAGGTATAAAGGGCGGCGGGTGACACCAGAAATCTTATCGCTGTGATTGGTTTTAATTTTAATTCTCGATGCAATTCTTTTTTGCATAGAGAAAACCATTGCTTAGGGGAATCTTCAATGAAAATGTTGATAATTAGACAGTGGGGTCTCCATGCAGGCAAACGGGCAGGTGACACATGATTTCTTGGTGGTGTGGACCCCATTGGGGGCTAGTTTCGGAAGCCTTTCTTGGGAGAGTTGGGTGCTGTAATGTCGAGACAAGCACCTGGCACAAGGCCATGTGGTCCACCTCTGACCACCGTGAGCTAGGGCCTCCTCCGGGGCCCCAGGCCCGCCCTCCGCCCTCCCCGCCTGCAGCCCAGGTACCTGTGTGGGAGCCCGAGAGGGAGCTGAGCAGCCGGGAGTGCTGGCTGTGACCGTCGTGCACCTCCACCACGTCGTTGAGGGCCGTGTGGAAGAAGGCGAACTGGCCAAAGACCACTGTGGACGAGACGCGGGGTGGAGAGAGCTCGGTGATCACACAGATCCGCAGGGTGTGTGTGCTGGGGGGCCCAGGCCACCTCTGCCACCCACCCAAAGGCACCCCACCCCTAAACCCAATCCTGTGCACGAAGTGGATTCCAACTCCCGGCGGCCTCACATGATTTGGAGTAGACCTTCATTCCATGCATTTTTGACACGGACTGCTGCTGTGGCTAATAGATACTGCAAGTGACAGGTATGCTGCCAGTCCTGCTACCACGCCACACTAGGAGTCTTGGCCCTGTAGTAGCTACACGCTGGGCTGCGATCCGCATAGCCCACTGTTCGAGACCAGCAGCAGCTCAGCCGTGGCCGCGAGGAGGAGGAGCTTCAGGGTGTTCACCGGGTGCAGTTTCACCGAGGGTCTCCAGGTGGCGCAGCTTGCTGTTCCACTGCTGTCCTCCGCTTCCACCCAGGTTTGTTCTGCTTCCATGCCCTGCTGAGAAGTGTACTTCCACCCCAGATTCACTGAATCGGAATCTACATTTTAACACGATCTTTAACTCGAAGTGCCTGGTGGAGTAGAGGGTTAATGGCATGTTGCTAATCGCCAGGTTGGCGGTTCAAACCCACCTCTGACTCCTGGAAGGAAGAGGATGCTGTCTGCTTCTAGAAAGACTTAAAGGCTCACACAGCCTCTGGGGCAGTTATACCCAGGTGTATTGGGTTGCTCTGAGATAGCGTGAATTTGGGGTTATGTAGAAGCAGTTTGAAGCCACCAAGCCGTACTGAGGGAGTAAGGCCCATGGCTTTCTACTCCATAAAGAGTTGCAGTCTCAGGAACTTATAGGGCAGTCCTTTCAGGTTGCCATAAGGCAGCATTGACTCGATGGCAGTGAGTGTGATTTTTGGTTGTTATACCTAGGAATCATCCGAGGGTCTGGAAGAATCACTCCAGACAAATCCAGGCCATCGAGCTGGTTCAGATTCACAGCGACCCAGTCGGGTTTCCAAGTCGGCTTTACATCTTCAGTTGGCCTCATCCACCTTTCATGGAGAGGCTGGAAGGTTTGAACCAGCAGCCTTTTGGTCAGCAGTCAGTCCAATCCTTACCCCAAACTGTCATCCAAAGGTCTTGTTAAAATGTAGATTCTAGTTCAGTATATCTGGGTAGGAAATGCATTTTTCAATAGAGGTTGAACCTGAACCAGGTGGGCGCTTGGGACCTACCTAGTGATTCCATAGGCGAAATGCCTGAGGGTCTGCTTCCATTAAGATTCCAGCCCAGAAAGCCCTCAGGAGGGAGTACTTCTGCTCTGTAGCACGTGGGTCGTCATGGTTGGCACCCACTCCACAGTAAAGAGTTTGGTTTTTGTGTTTTGGAGTGTTAGGGAAGCAGACTGCCAGGACTGTCCCCCTTGGGGCTGCTGGTGGAACTACCAATCGCACAGACTGATGGAGAGCAGTCTGCTCAGGCCACCCAGACCAGGAGGAGGAACACCTGGGAGGGAGTTGTTGGTTTTGGTATAAACTGCTTGTTTTCCACTGGCTGATGGCTTTGTGGTGTAGACTGCTGACTTTCCATGGGCCACCCTGCCAGGGGCAGAGATGTGGGGGGCTGGGAGGGGCCGGGCTGTCCTCCTCTCACGTGAGGTGGAGGTGGCACCAACTTAGGGAGCAGCCCCGGCAGCTCCTCAAACACATCAGTGTGCAATCAGCTACATCCCTCTTTCTCTTTGTCCTCTTGGGACCCTGAACTGCCCGACTTTGCCTTTCAACGTTGAGCCCACCAGAGGGACCCCTGAGCACAAGACCCCTCACAGTTAGAGGGATGAGGTGCAGCTGTCTGGGAAGAAACATCTCCACCTCTTTCCCTCTGCCCATCTGGAGGGAAGCACCCACTGTGTTCAGGTACCCCACCTGCTGTGCCTCACCTTCCGTCACATCACCACTATCCCAAATAGACCCATATTTTATGAACGAGGCTCGGAGAGATTAAAAGAGTTCCCCAGAGCCACCCAGTTAGCTCCAGGAAGCAAGGGTGAAAAGACAGTGGGTTTAAACTCGGATCCAGTCCCTATTGGATATGGCTGATGGGTCCTGGCATTTGAGGACTACTCAGGCCACCAGCTATGAAACCTAGGGGATTTCGCCAGTTAGACAGGTGGGCCCACCAGTGGCAACTTTTTTGACATTGCCTGGCCCCACCCAGCTCAGGAGCCCTGGTGGTGGAGCGGCTCATCATGGGCTGCTAACCGTAAGTCAGTATTTGAATGCAACAGTTGCTCCAAAGGAGAGAGATGAGGTTTTCAGCTCCCAGAAGGATCTACAGCCTCAGCAACTTCATGGGGGCATTTCTATTCTGTCCTGCAGGGTTGGTAGAAGCTGGAATCAACTTGATGGCAGTGGGTTTGGATTTCTGGGACCTAGTTTGGATTTTGGGGATCCTAGTTCATTCTGCCTGCACTGGTCTCCCAATTAGACTGGTGTACCTGAAGGCCAGGAGCAGAGCAGACCTTTCTTTACAATGGCTTGAATCCTTGAGCATGTAGGAAGTAGGGTGTGTGTGTGTGTGTGTGTGTGTGTGTGTGTGTTTCAGAGCAGGGATAGGGAGGGACTCAGGCCATGGGCTTGGTCGCAGTGATGAGAGTAGGGAAGGAGTAAGAGATTCTCAGCTCTCTACTCATGGCAGGCGAGCAGGAGGGAGAGGAGCAAACGGGCACTGCCTTAGGGCTCGTGGCAGGTTCTCTCCACATCTTCCTCCACAGTGCAAGGCAGACAGCCAGGGCTGCTGCTGTCACACAGGGAACATTCTAGTAGGGAGGGCATTGTCGCTTTGTCCGTTTGATTCAGGCCCCTGGTCACCACCATGGTGTTGCAGAGGGAACTGCTCCACAGGGTTTCCAAGATTGTGACCTTTCAGAACCAGGCTGCCAAGGCCTCTCTTCTGAGGGGAGCCCTGGTGGCATAGTGGGGGACACCTGTGGATGATAACTGCCAGCTCAGCAGTTCCCACAGCGACTCTGCAGGAGCTGGACGAGGCTGTAAAGAGGTACAGTCTGGGGGACCCAAAGGAGCCATTCGAGTCTGCCCTGTAAGGTTCCTGTGAGTTGGAATCAACTTTTTAAAAAAAATCTAATGCTAGGTTGTTGGGCTGCTAACCACAGTGTCAGTGGTTCAATTTCACTAGCCACTTCGTGGGACAAAGACGAGGTTCTCTGCTCCTGTAAAGATTTACAGTGTCATCTTCAGAAACCCCATTGAGTTGTTGTGAGTTGGAATCCATTCATTGCACTCCCTCCCTCCCTCCCCTCCATTGAGTCAAGACTAACTCGTAGCGACCTCCTGTGGGTTTCTGAGACTGTCACTGTTTACGGGGTAGAAAGCCCAGGCTTTCACCAGCAGAGCTGATGGTGGTTTTGAACTTCCGACCATGCATATCATAGCCCAAAGCAAGACCATTACGTATACCACCAGGGCTCCACTCGTGGTAGTTTTTGGTCAATCTACCACTCCAACCACTAGGGGGCGCTTCTCCTTAGAAAGTCCTTCATGCCCTGAACGGACCCAGATCTAGGAACTGACTCAAAGGAAAATAATCAGAGATGGACCCAAGGAATTAACCTTTTGAATTTGGCCTTCTGAGGTGTCACTGCATGGGCCTGCACTTTCCACCTTTAAGCTCGTAGTCAAGCACTTAACTGTCTGCCCAGCCAGAGACTTCTACTAACTAGGAAGAGGCAGTCAAAAAACGTTTGAGCAAATGGATAGGAGAGTGCAAAGTTCTAGGAGGCATTAAACCTAGGGGATGGAGCGGTAGGGCACGGCAGGCCATTTTAGGTAGTAGATCACATCTATGTTATTTCTAGCAAATCAGCAACCAGTAGACCGCTCCAACCCTTCGCTACGTGGTTAAGATATTTGGTGCCCTTTGCCCCACCCAACATTCAGTCTCAATTGACTGCCATTGAGAAAGTGCCTACTCATAGCGACCCTGTAGGGCAGGGTAGAACTGCCCCTGTGAGCTTCTGAGACTGTAATTTTACAGGAGTAGAAAGCCCCATCTTTCTCCCACAGAGCAGCTGGTGGTTGCAAACTGCTGAGCCTGAAGATCGCAGCCCTCGACGTAACCACATGCTTGGGAAAGTGGAGGGGCATCGAAGAAGAGGCAGGCCCTCAGAGAGATGGAAGGACGCAGCGGCTGCAACGCTGGGCTCAGGCCTGGGAACCCTCGCGAGGATGGCGCAGGACTGGGGTGTTTCCTTCTGATGTGCGGTGGTTGGAACCGACTTGCTGGCACCTAACAACAACCACGGCCCCACCAATAGGAACTGAGTTCAGAACGAGCCGTTATTCTACCTCCAAGGAAGAGAGCCATGTAGGAAAGAAAGAGCCATCACCTGGTAGCTCTTCAGAAACTTCCAGAATGCCCCCAGGTTTGGAATGATTCTATTGGCAACCCGGAGACTAGCCTGGCTTCTTTCTGTCTGAATCTCTTGCTACCTGGGGATTGCAGATCACTGGCCTGCCCCTTCATTTGCGCTTGCCCATGTTACCCCAGAGCAGCTAGATCAGGTGTAGCACCTGCAGGGATGTGGCTCTGAATCTGGGGACTGTACCCCCACCTTCATTTCAAGCCCTGGATCCACTTCATCCCTTTCCTCCTTTCTGGCCACCGGCTTCTGGGGACCTGTAGACCTGTCTCTGCAGCACTTCCATTCGCCCTTGGCTGCGCTCTGTAGTTCCCTGGGACGCCTGATCGCCCTCTGCTCTGGCTCATTCCTCACCAACACCTTTGCCTCAGCTGCAGGTGACCTCGCTCCGGAGATTGTGCATTCTACAGCCGTCTCAGGCCGGCACTCACACGGCCAGCACGAGACAATGTTCTGTCGATTCCCAGGATGGGGGCGGTCTGAGGAGTTGCCTCTTTTGGAGTGAGGAAGGGGAGTTGTTAAATATATAAACAAACAAACAGATAGAAGAAAACAATGACCATACCATAGTCCTTGGGCACGGTGACAAAGTATAGGCAGATCTGTCCGCTAGTATAATTCTGGGGGTAGTTGGGGGACAAGACCACTCCATCCGAGCTTACATATTGTCCCCCGCAGGGGGCTGAAAGAGAAAACAGAGGGTCAGATGACCTCCTTGGCTTCTCACTGGCTGTCTACCCGCCATTCTGCTCTGCACCTGAGCTTCTGGCCCTGGTGTGGCTGCAATTAAGAGAGTCACTAACACGGGGGAGGGGAGTTCCATGGACACTGCTCTGCTCTGTCCATGGTCCTCCACCCCTGACCTGGGATGTGGCCTGAAACTACTCTGATGCCATCGAGGCTCCTCTTGGACACCTATCAGTCCTTTTTGCCCTCGACTCATGCTGGAACTGGTCCCTGGAGGCACAGCCTTAGCGTCCACATTAGGACCTCCTTACGAGTGGAGTCTAGATATGGCGTGCTGGTGCAGGACAGCCGTCTATGTTTGGGTAGCCAGTGTCTGCATGGGTTGGAAGCTGAGACTTTCTAAACCAATATCACTGGAAGAGGCCAGCCCATGTAACCCAGCCATCTTCCTTTCTCAGCTCATGGTGCCCACGTTCTACAAGAGGTAGAGCTGAGCCACCCCTCATCTAGGCATTGGGTTACTGTGGTAGTTACATAATCTGTTGTCAACTAGAGACTTAAGAATGAAGGGGTGGTTTAGCCTGTCAATCAGGTTGTAGCTTGATGACCTTATTTGGAGCGGCTAAGGCAATACAGAGCTCACTGGAGGCCTGACACACACTCAATCACTCCCTGCGAAGCATTCCTGTTGACAAGCCACATGGAGACACCCTGATAGAGCCAGAACCCTGGAGCTGGAGGAGTCACCTGGAGGCCCATGCCAGCGCCGAGATGCTTACACTACTACTGGCTCCACAAGACCTTCTACCCACTGGCCTGTGATCTTCCTGCATTTGGTGTCATTGCATGTGTTTTGCAAGCCTGAAGAGGACTTTATAGATTGGTATTGGGCATATGGGCTAATATTGGACTGATGGACTTGATCTGGACTGGGCTGGGATGTTTTCTCAATATTCAATTGCTTTTGTATATGAAGCAGCTTTCTTATACACATATGAGTTTCCCTGGATTTGTTTCTCTAGTCTTTCTGGACTGACACAGTTACCTTGCTTTTCAATGGAGGTGGACACCATATTCCTAACACGGCAACACTCCCTCCTTTCCTTTTATTTAGGACTCTCTTGACTAACCCAGACCTGCCTTGATCTAAATTAGTGTGCGTCTCAGTGAGTCCAAGGGCTGGCTTTAAACGGCACTCTCCTTCTTTCTCCCTGTGGGAGCTGCTGGCACGCTTGCAACCGATGTTCAGGAGATGAGCACCTGTGTGCCTTGAGGTGAGGGTGGGGACAGTCCGTGGTCTGGGACAGATGACCCATTGGCAGGGACTGGTGCCCCCATTCTCACCCACAGTGTTCTTAAGCTTTCTAGGTCCTGCTTGCAGGGGTCACCCCTCAGGGACCGTGTCCTGCTTCCTCCTTCCCGCTCAGACACACCCACTTCCACAGCCTCCCTCCCGGTCCTCATCCCCGTCCCCCACCTGTGCAGACTGGCCGGGGATTGTTCCACACTGGCTTCCCATCGGGCCCCAGGATGCAGCTCAGGGTGGAGGCGCCCTCCACTTCGTAGCCCCCGTGGCAGTAGTAGGTGAGGGAGGAGCCCAGCTTCAGGTCAGACCCCACTCGCGTGCCGTTCTTGATGGAGCCGGGATCGAAGCACGACTCCCTGGGGTTTTCTGGAAGGAAGAACACACACGGGCTGGTGAGTGGGCCCTTTCCGGGGAAGACCCTGCCCTCGGTCGCGGATCACGTGGGGGTCAGCACTGTCGGTGGATGTCACTTTGCAGAGTGGACGTTCCCATTCTCTGGGCACATTCCTTCTTCTTTTTCATTACAAACCCTATTACTACCTGTTCTCTGTAGCAGGTGAAGCACACCAGACAGTGGTGGCGTTCAGCTGCTTCACACCGGTCGGAGTGGCGGGGGGAACCGATTCTAATTTTTTGTTGAGTTCGGCGAGCTGTTGTTAGCATGACCCTTGTCCTCAGGGTTCTCTTCCGCCCACAGGTATAAAAAATAAGACGGATTTTTGCTTGTAACAGTCATTTATTCATTTCATAAAGCCCATTATTCTTTTGATGAAATACTACATTTTTTATTCCCTTGCATTTGTTACCGCAGTAAACCAACATACTACATCAAGAAACAAAGTGCCAAGTGGCCAGAGGGGGACACGCTGTCACTCTTTGAGGTTCGTGTTATGCCCCAAACTCCCATGAGACATTAGGAGCGAGTGATGCACTTCCTAAAAGTGGTCAAAGGGCTAAAAAGATCATTAGCAAAATTTCTGTCAGTTCAGCAGAAGCAAAAACAGGTTTTTCAAAGATGAACATAGTATGTTTAGAGGCGAACGGTCACCTGTTTCTAACCTAAGGAACACAGCGAGTATTGTCTAATGGGCCTACCGCTAAAGGACGGGGATCGCACTCCCACAGTGGAAAGATGGTGAAGGAGACATCACACAGCCGAGGAGGCTTGGATCAAAGCCAAGCATATTGCAAGCCAATCAAGAAGCAGTATGGAAATATCTTAAATAACAGTTGTATTGTTTTTGGTCAGATATCATTTAAGATTTTTCATTAATTTTTTAAAACTCTTCTAGTTTTTTGTCCCTTATTGTTTTTATTTAAGTATTAATGGTATGAAATAATAAACTACCATTAGGTGTGATCATTTTTTAATACTTAAAACAGTCATCAGGGCAGCCAACCAGTTCTTAAATGATTTGAATCCTACCACTGAAGCCAGCGGAAAGGTGATTATCACCTCTCTCTCTCTCTCTCTCTCATGTCCTTGAGGCAAACAAGTTAACAGTTAAGGTGTTAGCTGCTTTCATGGGCTTATATTTTAATGGGGTGGGCATCTCCCCACATTCTTGCCTTGACCAACAGAGGAGGAATTCATGCTAAACATCTGGGCTTGGGCCTCCCCAAGCAAGGCACCCTCTGCTCTGATTGGTGGGAGCTGACTGCCCTTGAACCTTCTTCCAAGCTCACTATGACAAAGTCTTATGATAAAGACCAGGAACGCTGGTGTCTTAGTGGGTTATACATTGGGATGCTAACCGCAAGGCCAGCAGTTTGAAGCCAGCAGCCACTCCTTGGGAGATAAATGAGGCTTTCTACTTTGGTAAAGAGTTTTGGTTTCAGAAACCCAACAGGGGCAGTTCAAGTCTGCCTGGAAGTTACTATGCATCGGGATCAACTGGATGGCAATGGGTTGAGTGGATGACACAAGTCAAAGGAGCCTTGGTGGTGCCATGGTTAAGCCTGTGTCTGTGAACTAAAAATCGGAGATTCAAATGCCCAGCTGCTCCACAGTAGAACGATGTGGCAGTCTACTCCTGTGGGCAGTTGGACTCTGTTTGATAGGGTCACTATATGTTGGATTCAGCTTGATGGCAATGGATACATGGATACTGGGGTGTCTGATCCGCCCCTTTGCCTGTCTTTGACCTCACACCTGGCCTGGCCAGCTTCCTTGGTGTTCTGTATCCAGGTGTTAGGCTGGGCAGAAAGCTGCATTTGAGATGGCTGTTTCACTGCTGCGTGCACCCAGACGGCTGACTGGGACATTCACCCTGCATCTACTTCAGAGGCCCAGCATCTCCGTGCAGGCACGTCCGAGTGTGTGGGTGCAAATACTCCGATTCTGCGCGGAAGTAGGCGTGCCACCTCCCTGCTGGGAGAAGCTGAGGTCTCCAATATCGTTTCCTAGAGTTCTTGCCCATTTAGTAAAACAGTTGTTTTCTTCTAGTTGGTTATTGATCCTCATAGGCGAGGGAAAGCCGAACAAGGAGTAAGGAAGACTGTAGAACTGGCCCTTTGATTGTGGAAGAATATTGAATAGCTCACAGACTGCCAGGAGAACAACAAATCCGTCTTGGAAGGATTACAGCTAGGAGGCTCCTTTGAGGAAAGGACGGTGAGACTTCTTTGGACACATCGTCAGAGGGACCAGTCCCTGGAAGGATGCCATCCTTGGTAAAGCAGAGGGTGTGTGACAAAGAGGAAGCCCCTCAATGGCATGGACTGGCATCGTGGCTGCAACCATGGGCAGAACCGTAAGAGTGATGGAGGATGGTGCAGTTCCAGGCAGCATTCACTGTTGGGCACAAGGTTGCTATGGTTAGACCGGACTTGACAACAGCACCTACCAACGACAATCCTCAATCAGGCACACAGTAGGCCAGAGAGAGATGGCAGCTCGAGCCCCTGGCAGGCAGCCATGCCATTCTTGGGCAGCAGAGAAGACTGTCCTTGATGTGGTCCCTACCAATTGGAGGCCAGACTCTCTGGAAAAGAGATCCCACAGCGTCGCTCACACTTGGATGGGAATCTTGAGCAGCTCAGCTCTTGTGTTGTGGGCCGACATTCACTTCCACTCACTGTGCCCTGGCTCAGTCTTTCTTGTGCTAAGGTGACTGGAGGTCATCAGGGCTGGACAGTGCCAGGACATAACTAGGGCCAGCCAGGGCCAGGGAAATGCAGTTGCGCAGCAGTTTCAGTTCGAGTCTTGGAGGCTGTGCTGTGGGGAGGGAGCAGCAGAGAGGTCCAGAGATGGGGATGCAGGAGAGGGGCTGGTAGCCCTTGCAGATGGACTCTGAATGCAGGGCCCAGCTAAGGCAGAAAGAGCTGGAGGGGCTGAGACTGGGGCTCGGGGAGCTGTCCTTGTCACCTGGGACATGCCATCAGGAGAGAGCAGTCCCTGGAAAAGGACACCATGCTTGGTAAAGGAGAGGGGTGCTGGGAAAGAGGGAGCCCTTTGACTAGTGTGAAGATGACCCAGGACTGGGGGTGTGTGTCCTTCTGTTGTGCTGTACATAGGTCTGCTACGAGGCGTCTAACAAGAACAAAGGCGGTGGCGCCGTGGTGGCCTAGCAGGTTACATGCTAGGCTGCTAACTGCAAGGTCGGCAGTTCGAAATGACCAGCAGCTCCAGTACAAAGATGAGGCTTTGTACTCTCATAAAGATTTACAGCCTTGGAACCCCACAGGGGCAGTTCTACTCTGTCCTGTTGGGCCGCTAGGAGTCGGAATTAGTTCCATGGCAGTGAGTCAATGAAGGAGGCAGCCGATGCTTAAGGGTGCTACTCTTAGTTAACGTCAGCTTTGGTTGCCTGATGGGGTGGGGTGCTGAGAGCCTACATGCTCCTGCCAAGTCCACCTGTTTTGCCTTTTGGCCCTTCCATCTCAGGAGACAGGCGGGCCTGCCTTTTTCTTTAAGTCTCTGTCCATAACTAAGGGTAGAGTGGTTCTGGATATAAAACAAACCCCAAACATAACCCCCCTCAACTCACTGCCATAGAGTCGATGCCAAATCAGCCATCCTACAGGGCAGGGCGGAACCGTCCCTGTGAGTTTCTGAAACGATCATGGTTGCAGCAGTGGGTCTCCACCTTCCTCAGGCTGCGACCCTTTCATACAGTTCCTCATGTGGTGACTCCACAACCATAAAATTATTTTCGTTGCCACTTCATCAATGTCATGTTGCTACTGTTATGAATCAGGCGACCCACAGACTGAGAACCGCTGGTTTCCGGGAGTGGAAAGCCCTGTCTTTCTCCCTCGGAGCGGCTAGTGGTTTCGAACTGCAGACTTTGCAGAGCTCCACCCAATGTAACCACTATGCCACCAGGCTTCCTCTGAAACAAGAACAGCCCCCAAATCCATTGCCATGAATTAGATTCGGACTTACAGAGACCCTAGAAGACAGGGTAGAACTGCCCCCCAGGGTTTCCAAGACGAGGTCTTTGTGGGAGCACACAGTCTCATCTTTCTCCTGCACAGCAGCTGTTGAGTTCAAACTGCTGACAAACGGCCACGGCCCTGGCACAAAGCCCCTGAGCACTTCCCTTGTGAGCCCTGTGATGAGTCACGGTGATGCCATGTCAGGTCCCTCCTCCACTTAGCCTAGTGGCTGGGGTCAGAACAGTATTGGCCTTCAGGCTCTCCACAGACGAACCCCAGAGAGACAGGGGTCTGCCCCATGCTTTACAGCTCACCTGTTGAGATAGTTAATGTTTATTGTGCCAATCTGGTTGATAAGCACAGGTCGGGTTAATTGAAGGGTGGAGGGATAAATGGCTCTGGGAGCCTCGCCTTTTGAGTTCTTGGGTCTCTTGCTTTGTGATGGTAGCACCAGGGTGCAGCTGCCTTAGCCAGTTCCCTGCTTCAGCTGGCAAGGCTCCCTTCCTGCAAGACATCCCCAAGGAGAAGCCACATGGACCTACCCCGATGCAGCCCTGGGTGCTGGAGCAGCTACGTGGAGACCCCTGCCAGCACTGAGATGCTTACACGGTCAGTGACTAGGCTTTGCTCCTGCAGTCGGCACCATTGTGTGTGTTTTGTGAGATGGAGGAGGACTTTGTGGATTGATGTTGGACACATGGGCTAATGTTGGACTTGTGGGCTTGGTGAGCACTGGGTTGGGATGTTTTCTTGATGTGCACTTACCCTTTATATAAAACTCTCTCTTATACATATGAGTTTCTGTGGATTTGTTTCTGTAATGTACCCAGACTACCACACCTGTCTTTCAAAAAATTTCCCAGTGGGCCAAATCTTATTTGAAGTTCAGGGAAATCAAGCCAGTTGGAACCAATGTCCCATTGCCTGTGAGAAGCAGATTTAGTGGTGGCACCCACCACCCACTCCATCCTTGATCTTTAAATGAA